TTATAACGAAAAGGGTAACTTTGAATTAAAAAAGTATCAATCGAGTGAGTTCACTCGATTGATACTTTATTTTTGATACGAAGTTTCGTATACAGCCTACTCGAGTGTTCTATTAATTACTGATACTATTAAAATTATTCAGCGTAGAATTTTTCGCTGAAAATTATTTAAAAATTTTGTAATAAAACACCTCTCCTAGTTTGTTACATAGCTTTCCATACTGATAGATTTGAATTACACATATGACAGTCATAAGAGTCAAATGGTACAAATATAACTACTGAAAAATGTTGTAAAAACGTATAAATGCCAAATATATAAAACACTTCAAAGCAATATATTTTTAAGAATGTCGATCTCATGAATGTAGGACCTCTGGCAGTCTTTAATAACGCAGATGAGCATAGTGCATACCCAGCTGTAGTATAGGGTGTCAAGCGAGAAAGCCTTTCTGTGTCACCCCTCGCAGCGCGGAAAGCGCCATGCCCTATATTTTCTATGAAAACTGTTTGCGTGCTAAAAGTCCCTTTTACGAACGTTTTCTTCTATCATCCCGGAGTTTCTTAAAGCAAACGAGGCTTGTATTCACACGGCACTCTCCTTGAAATGAAACACTTTTATGATTAAGTTATTACATTTATTTTAATTTATTCGTGACAAATAATGACAATACCTACATCAATTATTAATATAATTACTAAGTATTGAGCGTATGAGTTCTCTCAATTCCTAAATCAGCCAAGCCCACCAGACCTTCAACATGACCGAACAATCGCATGATTTCTCGAATATTTACAATATTCACATAAAACGTGACTTATGTACCAGATGTAAGTATATAGTAATAACGTCGTGTACTTAATAATACTCATACATATGTCGTTATAAAATACACTGTGTTCCTATCATTTTGAACTGGTAAATGAGTTGCAGTTTCCATATATTGATATTCATTTAGTACTGCAGGCCGAGGTTGTATACATGATGTTGTTAATTGTGACGGACGTTAAAATGTGCTACGGAGTGTTTCAAGAAATGAATGGAGCATTAAAGTTCTTAGTGTCCGTCAGAATGTTGTTTAATATCTGCGTTTATTACGTAATTTCAACATTATGCTTCTGCATTTTTAACACGCTTTTTGTTAAATTTATTTAAGTAAATCTTTGTTACTCTTTCTTTTTATCTACGCAACCTCAGTCCGCGAGTACAAATCTCTGCTTTGACTTCGACCACACTTGGTTACAAAAATGGTTTACGATACAGGATTTAATTGCCATTATTGTTACTTACTAGTCTAATCGAGTTTAAGTAGGTATATTTATTAAAATGACTGCTATTGATAACATTATTGAGAGGTCATTAGAGTAACATTACCTGTTCAATAATTATTTATCAGTAAACGTTATGAATTATATATACCTCAAAAATATTATTGATCTATTACTTTGATCGTAATGGAATTAAAATTCTATGCATTTATTAATTAATTAATAGTTTATTATTAAAAATGTATATAAAGTTCATAAAAAAACGCTTACATTTGGCAAATTATAATATGAATTTGGTAATACTTATAATTCACAATTCAATATAAAATCTATGGTACAGCCGGCCAAGTAATTTGTGGTGCAAAGGAAGAAAACAACGATTGATAGTAAATGTATGTTTCCAATGAATCTCACGTGTCCATTGATCGGCTTAACCAACTAATGACTACTGTCTCTGTAATGTATCAATCTTTATTTTCTTATCTGCATACCAAATAGCGTGGCTGGTTGTACATTAAAATGTTTAATTAGCAAAATGACACGGACATTGACTTGACAAAGTATGTGGAAGGAACCGCCTCTTGAATTGTAGGTTACGTGACATGACAAATATTAAAGACACGGAAACATTTTTCCCGACCGGTTCTAAAGAATTTGGTGCAATATTTCATTCGTTCGATTGTAAAACGTGGCTACAGTTTGACAGGCGGTTACTTCGTGTTATTTCGTTTGTGCGTGGGAATGCCATGATGGTTCTTAATGTGAATGAGGTGAATACAAACATTTCTGGCCAACAGTGAATCAAGTTCATTCAGTATATTAATTCTCGGTTCGCAATTATTCGAGTAAAACGTTTATCTATAACCGTCTACCGCCTAACTACAATTTACATAATGCTTAAAAATTTTGACTATTCAGTCGGGTTCCTTAACTCTACGACGAATATTTAAATTTAATGGGTATACTAAACACACAACTTACACATTATGTGTCTTACAATTACAAATATCACTACCACGAGAATTCAACGTAAATGTATGTAGCTACTTATGATACTATAGTGTTGACGTGACTTATGTATGTTCGACTACATATTCATGAATGGGACTAGCAGGCTATATGAATAACACAACTAGAAAAAGAAATACGAGATCACAGAGCCTTTACAAACTGAGTTACTGTGTATTTCTTAATAAGTATGCCATCCTTTGTCAATAGTATTTACATAATTTATCCGTGCTTATAACGAAAAGTACACATACACAATTCAACATTTAGACAGTACATTTTGTGCTCAATTTATGTTAAGAGGAAACATATATACCTAATTATGAACGTATAATGTACATCCTTACACCTCACACATACACAGCTCGAGTCCTGAGCGACGGAAACATTACTATTTAAAAAGCAGTTGTATCACTTTCATTTCATATTAATTCAAAACTGGGTATTCGTATAATTAATTAAATTTGACTTTTATTATTATTGTATACATACGTTAGTGCTTACATATTTACAGTAACTGTATTGCAGTGATTTATTACACAAAAGCGTCTAAGGTTTAAATCTACCGGTTTATTTGCTTACTAATCTAAGTTCGACCTTACATTATATATGCTGTACAAGACGTATAGTAGGTTACATAGAAAAGGTACTACGCAACTGAAAAATAGATGAAACGAATGAAGATGGGTAATATTTCGTAATTTAAAAGTTTGCGCCACGCTCGTAAACAAAACTGAGAGCACACTGGAGTAAGTCCGCGTGTGCAAAGAATTACAGCGCAGTCTTCGCACAATAGTCGTGTCTTGGATGAGTTCTGTTGTGAAGTTGTGATGCTTCTCCACGTCCAACGCTACAGAATACACCGAATTTATTTGCTATTCTTAGATGTCTTTATTATTCTCTTACTCGTTGTGTTTTATTATCTCGTATCTAAAGTATTGTATATTTTACTGTTTAGAATGTTTTCATCTACACGCTTGACACTAGACTACTTCACATCAATAATGCGCGAGAAAGGTATGGGTAAGACTAAGTAGGCATAGAACGTTGTCAGGTATCGACGACGATTTCTGCGGTAAATGTCAACAATAATGCAAACATTGCGAAATAAATATCAAAATTCTACTTTTAGTCAAATACCCATGTCGTTGTCTCTCAATGTTGTGTCTTATCCTATTGCGATGGTAATTCCGAATAGATTATTAATATTCAATTGACGCACGTTTATTAAGACTTCTTGGTCCTAAGTCACTTTCCTCTACACTATTAACTGCGTCTTAATTACCACAAAACAATAAAACAAGCTGGATATTTTACAAAAATACAAAAACAATCGTTGGTAGGTTGATCCTCAAACGAGGAAAGCGTATTTTTAAAACCTATTGTTAATTACGTCCCTCTCAAAGTCTATAGAACGGTAAAGGCACGGTCATGATGTGTATTGCACTTATGGGATTACTTGTCCGTACAGACAGAGAGAAGAAATTTCTTCTAAATGGTTCAAAACACGCTCTAAACTACGAGTCAAGTCGAGGAAAGCGTTTCAAGGCACATACTTTTAGAAACAATAGGAGGGCGGTACAGATGGAAAACGTAGCTGTACCACCGTCAGGTAAGGTTACGTCAGATGAGTTGAAATCAGAGCGACCGCTAGAAGCGTAGCCTACGATAAGATTCAGTAATACACAATGAACCTCCTAGTACTAATCCCGAGCGCTCGGCTACCGATACAAAGTACACCGACAAGTACCATCATAGAAATTACCCTATAATGTCTTTACATTGTAACTATCGTGTTAATACATATAAATTGAAATCAAAGCTCTTAGAGTTCATCGAAAGTTTTACCTGCACATTATCACCATTTACACGAGTAGTCACGAACACTTTCCACTTACACAACCCGATTTATACGAAATGGAGCGACCGTTAGAAAATGTTCAGTTAACTTATCATGAGTTAATGATCGCACACTCCACCGTTTGCAATAGTAGGAATATGATTCCCATTAGTCTTTTCGTGCAGCCGGCAGGAGTGGTGCGAAGACTCCTGTCAAAAAACGGGAGGCTGTTGTCTCGTGTCGCATGGGAGTGCGAGGCAGCCACCGCGGCAGAGGTGCGTCGCGGCGTGCAGGAAGGCGGGTGCCCGGGCCGGCGGGGGCGCGCGCGGCGGCAGCACCGGCGACAGCGAGCCCGCGCCGGACGGGCTGTCCCTGTCCGCGGCCGCGGACGGCGGGCGCTACACGTGCGTGCACGCGCCCGCCGCCACGGGTCACCCGCCGGCCAGCACGTCCTCCGGCTCCGGCGACCAGCAGTTGTCGGAGAGCCAGCACCCCACCACAACGGTCACGAAGCCGATCAGCAGCGCTAGTATTATGTATACCTCGGCGTTCCCTAGGCAACAAACATCAATTTAGTTTCTTAAATAAAACAACGAGTAACATAAAAACTTCGCAAAGTATTTGTTTATGAATCTAACCGAGCTGCTTGCGTATTCCTAGCGGCTGCCGGCTGCGCCAGAGTGAGTTGATGAGCGTGGGATCGCCCCGTGTGCGCCAGTCGCGGTACCCTCTGCCTCTGGAATATTGACTGAACCTGCGAAACATGAAACTCTCATTAATGCAATGTACAATGAACATTGCATACTACCTACATATAGCTATAATGCCTAAATTAAAACATTACTTACATATAAAATGCTAAGTATGTCTACATTAATAAAATGTCACACCACTGTTCGTAATGAGACAGCAAAGCAGCCGAAGGTGCTTTGATCGCAAAATTGGCGTAAAGCCAAGCCTTCAATGCTGAAGCTTACTGCTCGTACAAATCTTTGATACTGACTGTAGCAAAAAAGCGAAATTGAATTGTTACCATTTTCCGTCCTTAGGATATTTACGTGGCGATTCGTGCAGATGCCTAGTGTAAATAAGTGGTTCATGCGAATGCAGTTGTAACTACCGTGATAAATAGGTATTATGAAACTATAGTTACTAAAGCGAATAAAATTTTGTATCAAAATCCAAAAGTCCAAGCTGATTATCATGGAAACGGGTATGGAACTGGTAGATGATGCAGTCGATTCTGAATTGCCGGAAAATATTTTGTTCATTCTTTCGGATGACAGATTAAAACAATTCAATTTCGCAGCATTTAGGATTCAGTGTTAAGTATTGTTATTAGGAATTATCAGGAATAAATAATATTTTATTTTACAGGAAATAGTTGGTTTGGAATCTACTACATTCTCGTGGTTCTTAAGTTTTAGAATTTAATAAAATCACATTATCAACTAAATAGAATACCTACTTAATAGTAACCATAAGTCGCTATTCATCAGAAGGATTAGTTGACCAATCGTCCCTGCTTCAATCACCCTACAAACTACTTGTGAGTCAAACGTGCAAAATGTCAACCATGTAATGTTATCGTCATGCAGCGGAACTTCATCCATCGGACACAATTGATGGCTTACAAAAATGATCACTGCCTTTGGCCCCTAATTTATTATAAAGAAAAATTTCTCAAAACACTCTAAATAACAAATGACTTACATTATCTCGTCGCACCGGTATTGTAGCGGATAATAAAATATGAAATACATAATTGTGTATGTCTCAAAACACATCAAATAAAACAAATTATAATAATTATATCACAAGTGATTATTATCGAGTCATAAAACAATGCAAGGGTTCGAGAGTAATGTAGTGAGTGGGTTCATATGGGGAGGTTGGATATACGAACGTGTGCCTCGCGTACGTGACCCGTTCACATCATGTCTCGACAACCTCATCGATTATCATCTATCTGCGAGCACATACTTTAGCTCAGTGCCACTTAAGGCTTCGGCGTCCTTGTTATCTACATATTTTTATCTTTCCACTTACTTATATTACAAGGTATTTACAATAAAGTTGATGTTAAGACACTCAGTGACAGAGAAAAAGGGGATAGAATCATAAAAGCACTTTTATGAGGTACCTACGGACCTATCGTAAACTACAATGTTCTTATATGATAGATACCCTTTCACTGATGCCGCGGTGAAACGGTTAACCTCTAAGGTTCGATGAGAAAATATGAAAAGTCTTTGTAAAATATCTATTGAATAATATTCCACGAGACTGAGCTCACAGTCACAATCGTTTCACAAGACATTTTTGTGAGTAACATTAAATGCAATAATGAATAAATAAACAAACAGGGTGAATGGGCTTTAGTCTCGTGGGTCCCACTGCCGCCGTTTATTAAGTTTTTCTTTTAAATAACTAATTTAATTTTCAACCGTCTAAAATATGCAAAAGGGGGAAAATTTCCTTATTGTTCGGTTGCTCTTCTATTTCGTCTGTTCAAAGATTTGAATACGACTCTCCGACTCCGATTCTGGGGTCGAATTTAAGAGTAGTTTGATGAATGCCCTACGATTTTTCTACTTTGTTTAGAGGATTATGAAACACGCTCGTGTTCTAGATAAGTACTGGGAACAGAATACTCGGGCGCACCTGCTGTACACATAACCTTTAGCCTTATTTTCGTGAAAACGTAAAGTTGTTTTAATAAAAAGTCCAATATTCCTATCTATGAATACATCTTATCTATACTTACTTACTATGTTACTTGAGAAGTTGGTCTCATAAATAGAGCTTAGTGTAGTGGCATCAGTTGTGTAGATTCATGTTGCGGGCTTATTTTATAGTATCCCCTGAGAGCCTTTAAGCTATCGAATGCAGACCCTGTCACTAGTTTTAAGTTATTGGTGCATCGGTCTCAACTTCTTGCTTACCTACTTACTTACCTAACTATAGTTGGACTACTTTATAAATATTTCAGTATAAACGCTGCCACGTCGGTCTAGTCTAACTGAACTCAGCACGAACTTCTAGTTTGACCACGGGTCAAGTAAAACATTGAGCTATTCGGCTTTCAAATTTTGTATCTCACTAAGTTAGCAATTCGTCTTTTTACTTTCCTAATTAATATCAACTTATTGGACTTATAAACCGCAAAAAAATGGTTTTATATAGGATGTGTACTTTCAAAAATAACGCGTATTTTTTATTAATTTGTTATCTCTGAGGTTTCCATCAATAACGCGACTTGTTTATGTATGTATGTGTCAATAATCTAAATAATTTGTGTCTAGTCATTGCACAAAGTATGCATTTCCAACCCTTCACTAAAATGTAAAGCGTACGTCAGAATAGACTCGCTCTGCATGAAGACTAGACAAGTTAAGTTCGTTAAGTATTCATGCATGCTCTTGATGTATTTAATTTCATTAAGCATCATAAGTTGTAGTATGAAGTAGTGAGTTCGTGAATTAATTAGTTCGTACAATAATATTTTTGTATAGACGCTGTTAATGTGGCGCCGCTCATTAAGATTATCTTGCGCGCAATTCATTGAGGGATTACTCAGTTTCATTGGAATTGCAGTTTTGATTGCTGTAATTATTTTGGAATTAATCTGGAAGATTAACGGTGTAATTATGTTTTATAGGCCAGTTTTAGAGCTCTCTGTTTAGTCGTTAAAATTATGGTAGTAATTTTTTATGTTTCTTTGTAACAAATTGATTACAAAAATTTAGCGTTTTGCTTTACAATCTGAGTAACGGATTTTTTTTATTCGACACTATATACTTGAGTTAATAGTGTTTCTTTCTCTTTAGCGAAATAGAACAGACCTAGGGTTGGCGCTAACTCTGAGCGAAATTGCCATCCGCTGTCTATCACTCATTAGCACCATTCTCACATTCTTGGAAGGAGTTTCAAGATGCTTATTTATAAACCTATTCTAGTGTAATTCAACGTTAAATTAACGTAAACTAACGTCAAACATAATTGAAGGTTAACATTGTTTGTGAATTAACGTTATTAGTTATTACCCACCTACTGAGTTTGCTGACAAATGAGAACTAATGTGCTCAATTCACACAGGCGTCAACTGCCCACTCAGTTATTTACGATACACTGTATGAATGAATTTAAATTATTGACTGTGTGGGTAGTTCATCGATGTACAGTCGCCCAAGTCATTTGGTATGCAGAAAAGAAAATAAAGACAGATCAAATGTTGCTTAGTTACTGAGCCGGCCAATGCTATGGTTTTGTTAAAAATATACAATTTAGTATAACTACTGCTACTGTTGTACTGAATCAAAGTTTATATTCGTACTCGATAATTTGGCTGACTGCGTATACATACCAATATTAAGAGCAACCTTTATCAATATTAAGAGAGATACAATAAGATATTAAGGCAACCACAGGTGACTGATAGTAATCGCTACTCGATATTTCGTTGGCAACAATATTTTCGATATATCCGATAACAATTTATCTGTGTATGTCATCTAGTACGTTAACTTATGAGCGTTTTATTCGGTGAAGATAGCCGAGCGTCCAGTGAACTCTTGTACTAAACTAGATTTCAAACTACGGTCGAAATAAGTATTATTATGATTTTTAAAATCTTCGATCTAATTTGAGCTTTGTGCACGATGTAAGAAATTAGATCGAACAATGACAATTACATTAATAACAACGGTAAGTACTCCTATCCTTTTACTGAACAAAAACAGTGGTATTCTGTTATATATCTGAGAGACTAGAACTTCGACAGCTCGTCTGTCGTCTGCGGTTTCCCCAACTTGGCCGTGCACTATGTGATTGTGTTTTATTACCGAACCAAATTGCCTAATCGATTAGCAGAAAGGGTATTACAATGGGGTAATAAATGGTTAGACTCGTTTTAGTACCCGCAGCGTCATTAGTTTGTGGTTTTACCAATATAAAATGGTAAATTCTGGAAGTATCTCGAATAAATCGTAGATATTGCATTCATCTTCACCTGCTACGTGTTATATATTGGACGCAAAGTACCTTATGATATAATGGTGTTACATCTAGACTGAACTCAATTTTGCAGTTCAAAAATATGTGCTCAGGTTGTTACATGTGTGACGAATAGCGTTTGAGTAGGTTTGGGAAGTCTTATATATACATACTTATATAATAGGTACCTATTTTACAGCAACTCGTTACCCAAACTGATTTCAATTATACTGAACTTTGTACCGGCCTCCTCCATGACAAATGAAGGTCGTAATTGCTTTTCCAGGTATAACTATGCCATAAACCTACTTGGGATATGAAAGTTGGGTTAAATGACAATAGCTCAACGGCCGAGGCGTCGAACTGACGAACTACGTCGCGTCGTGAGTTCGTAGCCCCTGCTAACATATTACACTAGAATCACCCTTAGATTTAAGTTTAGTTTAGTTGTTTAATTTATATTGAGTTTTAGTATAGGACTTAGTACTTGGGTTACATACTATACAGATGGCAGACTTCCCGTATACACACACATATGAAGGTTGTTCATTTACAACTTTGAATTGAATGATGTGTTTCTAATGGCAGTATTACTCATACTTAAGAGCGAATATGTAGGAACTGATCACATTATGTGTATTCAGCGAGCGTTTCTGTAATATCAATATTGGCGCACATCTTTGAGGATACGAAATCGCGTACCATAAGTTAGAACGCGAATGTAGAAATTATTAGAAGATTTGGTACAGTAAGTTTTATACTTTGCAAGTTGTATACGATTGATTATTATCTGAGTATCATTAGGAAGTTTACGAATCTGTATAATATGTTACCTTAGCTTATTTTAAAATTAAAAAAGGGAAATAAAAATGTGATAACTGATTGATATCGTACCTTCGTACGCCGCCGACTCCTGCCGGAGGCGCGGTGGAGTGCGGCACCCCGGGCGGCACTTGCGCGCCTCCTTGTACGCCGCCCTGCACACTCCCTTGCGGAGCGCACACACAACACCCTGTGCACACAATGTCACACTTAAACCGTAAACATAGACATATTTATTCTGCAAATATTCATACATACATATTGTTATAAGGTTGCGCTTTCGTTTTAATAGCATCAGACAGAATCTACAGACTGCCATCTTATCTTTATACTTCTTTTGCTTCCACCAAATTCATACAAGTATGACTATTATGGAATGTTCAATATCTAGTTTTTTTGAGGATATTTCCAAGTTATGTTAACTAAATGTGGTCCGGTGTTGCCATTTACGTTG